CAGCACTCAGAGGATGCTGTTGGTGTGCCCCAGGCCCTGGGGGCTGACCCCCATGCTGGGCTAGCCCAGCCTCTTGCTGGCTGCTCCAGGGGTCTGACGGAGAAGGACCCCAGGCCGCCCTCCCTGACGCGCGCCGCCCCGGAACGGGCTCGGGGGGTCAGTGCCACCTGCACCCCCGCACACCTTGGTCCAGCATCCGTCCTTCTCTAGAAAGCCAGGCTGGTCCTTGGCCACGGGCCTCCTTGAGGGTGGTGCTGGGTGCATCCCAAAGTGGCACAGGCCTGCCAGCCACCACCGTCTCGTCGGCCTGCCCCGCCTGCCTCGCCATGGCTTCTCCTGCTGCAGGAAGCCTCAGACGCCACCCACACGGGCAGGCATGTGTCCTGGCTGGCCCACGGGCCGTCTCGGACACTAGTCGAACACCTACGCTTGCCCACCAGCGGGCTGGGCAGCGAGGCTGCAGCAGTGAGCGGGGTTAGGTCCTCGCTGCAGGGAGCTGCCGTGTGTGGGTGAGAAGGGCCTCACGCCAGGGCCTGTGCACGGGAGCAAGATAACTTCAGAGTCGTTCATGCAGCGAAAGAGCGTGGGGGAGGGGGCGACGGGCTCAGGGAAGGGGCCTCGGCGAAGAGGAGTCAGTTGCGGGAGGACCTGGGGAAAGAGCACTTCCGGGCGCGGCACATGCGGACCCCGGGGTCAGGGACGAGCCTGCTGTGTCTGGGGAGCTGCTGGCAGGTTGTGTGGCTGAGAGGGAGATGGGGGCCCAGAGGGTGTGGGGCCTCGCGGGCCACGGGCCTGCGGTGATTTCGTCTTGGGTGCAGCAAAGCTTTTGTTTGCTGAAGGGATTTTAAGTGCGTGCACATACGTGTGTGTTGGGGGGAATCCCATTCCCATTTCGGGAAGATCTCCGGCTATTGTCAAGGACAAAGGGCTGCAAGGAGTCGAGGCAGATGGAGGAGGCCGCAGTGCTCTCCCTGGCCATCGACGGTGGCAGCCTGGACCGCACGGGTGACTGCGGGGAAGAGGAAGAGGGAGCTTTTTCAGAGGGCAAAGCCAGCGGGACCTGCCGATGCACGAGGCAGGACGTCTGCCTCCGCCCGGGACCCATGCTGGGCCCCGGACGCCCGTGACGGGGTGTGTGTCGCTGAGTGAGGGTGCAGGGAGGCCACGGGGTCTGGCCCGGGAAGGGCATTCCCGGTTCAGGCCACCAGCCCAGGGCAGGTAGCTACATAGTGATGTCAGGAGCCCAAGCGGCTTTGGCCGACGTCAGATCTGAGCAGGGCGGGGCCACCCGGGACCAGGCAGGGCCACCCGGGACCACCCCTCCCCCCCCACCCCCGGTGGCAGGCCCTGTCCTGGGGGAGGGGTGGGGGAGTGAGCCCCCACCCTCGGTGCCTGCACCTGGTTCCCGGCCCATCTGCACGGTGGAGGCTGTTTCCAGGACTGGCTCCCCACGGGAGGCAGCACACCTGGCATCGGGCACGGCCTGCGTCCTGGGCTGTGCTCTCAGGCACACGTGTGAACTCGACGCCCAGCGCTGCCTCTCCGGTCGCCTGGCTCTTGCGTGGAGCCGCTCGACCAGGCCAGCCCCTTGGGCTCCCCTGGGCCCAGCCGGAGGAACAGGTTGTCTCTCCAGGCTGTCGGCCGCCTGCCCAGCCTGGCCCGGCCCCAAGTTTCCCTTCCAGCTCCGGAGGCCCCCGCCCCCGCCTGCTGCAGCCGAAGCCAAGCCCCGCATAGCGGCCGGGACGCGCCCGGGTTGGGTAGCTGGGCAGCAAGGTCCCTGGTGCTCGTGGGGCTCCCCGGCCCAGGGCAGGCCCTCTTGGAGCGTCTCCATTGGGGGCTGGTTGAGTGCGGGAATCTCCACATGGAGTTACTGCCCGCATCTGAGACCCTCTCCCTCCCTGGCCGCTGTGGGCTGCCCGCTGCCCCAGGGCATGTTCACGGGGCTCCGTCTCTCCTAGGAGAGAAATTGGGGGGTGCAGCGCGCAGACTCCAGTCCCACCGGTCGTACCCGCAGCTGGCACCACGGGTCGATGCCGGCACTCGCCCTCCCTGAAGGGCCTTCAGCGCTCCCCTTTGTCATCTGGAGGTGGCCCAAGAGATGACCCCTGCCTGCCATTGGCGTCCCAGGCCTGGCCTTCGGGTGTCATATCCCCTGCCCCGCCTCTCAGCCCGTTCTCTCTGGATCGGTCCTTGGGCTCGACACCGATTGTCGAGGGAAAGGTTCAGGGCTGTGGACAGAATCAGCAGTGAGGGGCCAGCAGGAGAACCCCATGAGGTCAGCATGTGCCCCTGGGCCTTTGGCCAAGTCCACTCGGTGTCCCCAGGCCTGAGAACGGTGGGGCCCGTCATCACCCCGCTTGCTGGGGTCAGCACGAATGGTGAGGGCTGAGGCCACAGTCTGCAGCCGACTCCCCGGCCGGTGGGCCTTCGACCAGGCGACTTCCCCTCTCCATGCCTTGGTTCCCCTCCCCCCTCCCCCCCCCGTAGGCCGGAATAATCACAGTGGGCTCCTCGCAGGGCATTGTGAGGAGAGGCGAGTCGGTCCTAGCCTGGTGCCACCCGAGGGAGGCTCTGGGGACTGTCACCCTCCCACTGCCCTGTTTCTCCGTGCGGCTTAGGCTGGAGCTTAAGGGGTCACATCCGAGCTTAACCAAATATTTGCTGGTGACCTTCGAGAAGTCCGCTGATGTGACTGTGCTCAGCTTCCCCTCTGTAACCTGGCGAGTCTCGCCCTCGTGGCCTGCTGGGCGGCTGGTCCAGCTCCCGCCGCTGTGACACTCAGCACGGCGACGGGTGGGCTGGGCGTGCTGGGCGTCTGGACTCCCAGCCACCCTCACCCCTGCCCCAGCACGTACACGCCACTGCCTCTGACCACCTTCGTCACTGGGAGAGGTCAGCAGGCTTTTTTGGGAAAGGGCCAGATAGTAAATATTTTAGGCTTTGCGGGCCAGGCGGTCCGTGTTGCAACCGCTCAGCTCTGCTGTAGACGGTCAGGAGATGGGTGGACGTGACCAGGCTCCAGGACAAGTGGCTATGAACTCAGGCCCCGGCCTCTATGGTCACCCCCCAGCCTTGAGGTGTGCCTGGGCCCCTGCTTCCCGGTACTGGGAGGGGGTTTGCGAGTCTCAGCACTGGAACTCAAGCTTCTGAGACCCCCAAATGCACTCCCAACCTGCAGACTTGGGGGCCTCCATCATAGACGCCCCCATCACCACCACCAATTACTGTTGGCCAGGACCCTGTCCCTGCCCAGGCCCAGCGCCGCAGACATGGAGAGGGCCGTGTTGGAGTGGGGGCAGCCTTGGCCATGGGGTTCCTGGGGGCTGGCCGAGCACAGCTGACCGTCCCACCTCGTCCCCTCCACAGAGAAGCCCGTGTTCTTTTCGACCTTCGCTGCCGAGGGCCAGAAGCTGTCCGCGGAGACCCCGTGCTGGACGTCGGGCCTGCCCTTCTCCATGCCCCCTCGTGAGGTGATCAAGGCCTCGCCGCACGCCCCTGACCCCTCGGCCTTCTCCTACACCCCGCCTGGTGAGTGGCTTGCCCGCGCTTGGGCTTCTCAGCTACCATGTGGAACCAGCTGATACACAGTTATTCGGCACCAACTGTTTTCACTGGCTTGAACGGCATCAAAAGGATCTGAGTCTGACCGGACCCTCGGGAGGGATGGCCTGGCCAGTGACGGCGCAGGAGGGGGTCTGTTGAGATTTGAGAACTCGGCAGGATCGTTGATGCTGGCGAGCCAGGCGGTGCTCCAGTGGCGAGGGGCAGCTTTGTCCTCCACCGGTGACTCAGAGCTAGAGAATGGGCAGCTGGAGAAGAAAGCCTGGGAGGGAGGGAAGGGGCGGGGAGGGGACGGCTTTGGTCATGGATAGACTCGGGCTGGGCGCGAGGTCCTTCCTGGGTTCCCCAGCCCTGCCGGGCCCCACCGGCATAGCGGGGGCCTGAGGAGGAAAGGCTGAGCTGAGCCGAGCTGACCCTGAGGGCAGGTGGGCCAGACGGGCCAGGAGAAGACCAGGGAAAGGCACACTGGGCAGTGGGGACAGCAGGTGCAGTGGTCCAGAGGCAAAAAAGCAGGGGAAGCTTGCGAGACCGGGCAGGCTGCAGCGGCGAAAGCCTGTGCCCGGTGGGCCTGGGGACTGTGGGCGCCCGGAGGGCTCACAGCACGGGGACGAGGTGAACCAGGAGACCTTCCTCGGAGACCCCTCTTGTCCCTGGGTGGGAAGTGACTGGTGGAGGGTGGAGCGGAAACGGGGAGACCCGTTAAGGGATGAGTGAGTGGGCGGTGGCGTCTGCACCAAGGACATAGCTGGCTCCTCAGGACAGAGATGCAGGAGGGACACATGAGCACGGGGCAGGGGTAGGGAGAGGCCCGGGGAATCTGTTGGCAGAGGCGTGGCTGCTCTGTGATGGACAGACATGTGCCCCCCAGGTCACCCGCTGCCACTGGGCCTCCACGACAGTGCCCGGCCCGTCCTGCCCCGCCCTCCCACCATCTCCAACCCTCCACCCCTCATCTCCTCCACCAAGCACCCCAGCGTCCTCGAGAGGCAGATGGGCGCCATCTCCCAGGTGAGGCGGCCTGGTGCCCAGACGACAGCCCCTTCCCCCTTCAGGGGTTACGTGGGGGCATTGGGACCAGCGATGTCTGGGTGGGGGCTGGGGTCATCTCTGTTCATGGCAGTGCTGGGGTCTGAGCTGGCCGGAGCCTGCCCCAGGGACATGGGACCTTGGGAGGTCACTTCATGGGGCGGTCAGGAGCCTGGGCTCTGCGGCCAGACTGTGCAGCCTTGCCGTTGGGCAAGCTACTCAGCCTCTGTGCCTCAGTTTCCCCTCTGTGGGACGGAAGGCGAGCAGGCCACGCAGTGGCCGGCATGTGCAGAGTGGCCATCCGCTTGTAGATGTGCCCCTTCCCCCCGTGGAGCGCAGGGTGGGGTCAAGGCGTCGCATTTTTGTGCTGCCTCGGGTTGCGATGGCTGCTGCGCAGGGGAGGGCACTTGGGCGCAGGAGGGGCGGTGGCTCGTCCACGGTCACCCAGTGGGGCAGCAGGGCCAGGCCCCTCCGGCTGCTGTGATGGGGTCTCCCTCCTCCTGAGGCCTCATAAAGGAGTTGTTTGTGGCTCTGGCTGGGCCGGGGCATGTGGTGGGGGGACTGTGGGGACTCCAGTGACCCCATGACCTCTGCCCCCACAGGGACTGTCGGTACAGCTCCATGTCCCGTACTCAGAGCATGCCAAGGCCCCTGTGGGCCCCATCACCATGGGGCTGCCCCTCGCTATGGACCCCAAGAAGCTGGGTAAGGATCAGGGGCCTCCCCGGGCTTGGATCCAGCTGTCCGTGTCAGGGGGTTGCGGGGGGCAGCTTGGCCTGTGGGACTCTGGCCTGAGTTTGGAGGGGTGGCGGTCCGGATCCCCTTGTAGTCCTGGGCCCCAGCCCCTGGGTGGGATGGGGTGGGCCACCCCTGTGAGCCCGTCCCGGTGGCACACGGCTCTGTCTCGCCTGTCCCCAGCACCCTTCAGTGGAGTGAAGCAGGAGCAGCTGTCCCCACGGGGCCAGGCTGGGCCACCGGAGAGCCTGGGGGTGCCCACGGCCCAGGAGTCGTCCGTGCTGAGAGGTGAGGCCCGAGGCGGGAATGGGGCCCTTTCCCCAACCTGCTGAGAAGCTCCCCGTCACAGTTGCCTTCCTCACCCTCTAGGGCCAGGGCACCCCTTGTTTGAGAATTCCGAGGGGGCCTCGCTGGTCACCAGGAGTCCCATCAGGGTGGCAGGTGCCGCAGACTTCAGCGCCGTGTCTCATGTCTTCCAGGGACGTCCCTGGGCTCGGTTCCGGGAGGGAGCATCAGCAAAGGCGTCCCGAGCACGCGGGTACCTACCGAGAGCCCCATCACCTACCGGGGCTCCATCACCCACGTAAGTGCCTGGGGCGCAGCAGGGGTGGGGGGCCAGGGCGGGCTCACCAGGCAGCACCTCCAGAGGTGGCTCTGACTGCCGGGCGAAGCAGCGGGCCAGCCCCTCTGTCCCCTCTATGTCACTGCATGGCACCTGCCTCAGTGGGTGGGTGACAGTCCATTCTGTGCTCGTTTATCATGTCTACTCGGTGCCCAGCAAACCTAAACCGCAGCTACAAGGAGCTGGCCCGGTAGTGCTGGACGCGTGATCGCCAGCGGGCGATGCCAGACTGTCCGGGTTGAGTTCAGAGTATGCAAATCGCGTTGAATGCTGTGGCCGAGAATGCCTGGGGCTGTCGAGGCCGCAGAGGTGGGCCAGTGGGGACCTGCGGGAATGTCAGGGGACAGCATGAGCCAAGGCCGAGAGGTCGGAGGGTGACACGGCCACATTCGGCTGCAGGAGGGAGTGCCAGGATTAGCTAGTGATGTCGCCCCATCCGAGCGCTTGCAGAGGGGCCCTTCTGCATCCCTCCTGGCTCAGGAATCGGGGTTCAGTTCTCTGAGCTCGGGGCTCCCGGTGCGTCCAGAAGCTGGTGAGCCCCCTCTTCCCCGGCCAGGGAAGCACTAAGGGCGGCTCCACACCCCGGGGTTTTAGCACCACTGGGCTTGCTTCTCTCCCCGGCCCCAGCTCCAGACAAGGCAAGACACTTTCCGCTGGTAGAGTCCATGCTGTTAACTCATCTTTCAGATGAGAAGACTGACGCTCAGGTTAAACCTAAGGTCACGTAGCCAGCAGCCATGCTCATCACAGAGCAGCCACGCCTCTGCCAACAGACACTCAGGTTAAACCTAAGGTCACGTAGCCAGCAGCCAGCAGCCGGGGTCTTGTGCCTGGCAAGCCAGAGAACAGGGACCCTGAACACACGTTGGCACAGACACGCTAACATACACACAGACATGCTCACGGGACACACGCTCTTGCACATTCGTGGTGGAGCTTGAGGCCGCAGGCTGGCGTGCAGTGAGGTGTCCCTGAGCCGAGTGGCCTCGATGTCACCCCAGAGGAGGCCCCGTGTGCTCTGTTCTCTGAGCCTGAAGGCTTTGAAATTGCAAGCTTTCAAAGGCAGCTTCGCTGAGTACAAAGAGCAGGCACCTGGGGCAAAAGTCAGGCTGCCACCGCTGAGTCGCAGTTCTGCCACACGCTCCCTCAGGCAGGGGACGGCCCTGCCTGACTCAGTTTCCCTTCTGGCAAAAGCGTTCCTTGCAGTCATTCTCGTGGCCTCATCTGGGATTAAAGGTTGACATCTAAACTTCCTGCAAACCCATCTGTGCCAGGTCTCCAGGTGACACAGCCATCTCTGTCACTCACACTCATTCAATGGTTTTTAGCAGAGGGTGGCAGCTGCCATCATGTGTGAGTCAGACTTTCTCAGCCTGGCTACCAGGTGGCAATGAAATCCATGGACGACAGGCCACACATACACACGCGTGCACGCAGACGCAGGCCACACACATGTGTTTTTAGCAGAGGATGGCAGCTGCCATCATGTGTGAGTCAGACTGTCTCAGCCTGGCTACCAGGTGGCGATGAAATCCATAGACAGCAGGCCACACACACACACACAGACGCAGGCCACACACACACGCGTGCACGCAGACGCAGGCCACACACATGCGCACGAACACACAGATGCAGGCCACACACACACACACACACACACACACAGAGGCGCAGGCCACATGCGCACGCACACACACACACTCAAGTGCAGGGCACATACACACACACAGACACAAACCATACACACAGGCACACGCACACGCAAACACAGGCCACACACGCACACACACGCACAGATGCAGGCCACACACACGTGCAGACGCAGGCCACACGTGCATGCGCAGACTCAGGGAGGCGCAGGCCACATGCGCGCGCGCACACACACTCAAGTGCAGGGCACACACACACACACAGACACAAACCACACACACAGGCACACGCAGACGCAGGCCACACACGCATGCACACGCACAGATGCAGGCCACACACATGCACGCAGGCACAGGCCACACGCAGACGCAGGCCACACGTGCATGCGCAGACTCAGGCTACGTGCACACGCAGGCCATACACACATGCACAGATGCAGGCCACACGCACGTGCATCTCAGGCTACACATGCACACGCACACGCCGATGCAGGCCACACACACACACGCAGACGCAGGCCACAAACACACCTGCGTCTGTGCACACACAGGCGCATGAACACACAGATACAGGCCACACACAGGTACAGGCCACACACAGAGAGATGCAAGCTACACACAGGCACAGGCCACTCGCACATACACGTACAGACAGGCGCAGGCCATGCACACACGCGCACACACACAGAGACACAGGTCAGACACACCGACACAGGCCACACGCATACACATAGACGCAGGCCACAAACACACTTGCACACACGCACAGATGCTCATTAGTCCAGCGGGCACTGACAGGCAGTGACCACGGTGTCCTGGAGGCTGGAGCAGGCCCAGCTCTCTGCCTCCTGGAGGCTCCTTCCCCCTGGGGAGTGAAGTTCACTGGGGCAACAGCAAGAAGCAGCCAGCCTCAGGCAGAGAGAACCTCTGCGTCCCAGGAGTTTGTCCAGGGCATTTGTCCGAAATCAAGGGGCCACCGCCTTGCCGAGTCTCTGTCATCTGCTCGTGGCCTCTGAAGTATTGCGGCTTGTAAAGGTCCAACGCCTTCAGCTGCACCAGGCGGGCCCCTTTCCTGTGCTGTGTAATAAGCCACTCATGTCCCCTGTATGCGCCACGGCCTCATGTCAACCAAGACACAGATAATGGCTGTGCTGGTGTCAGCTGCCTCTGGAGCCACCTCCCGATAGGATGTTGCTGGCTCCCTTGCCGTGAGAGGTGGCAGCCCGCCCCCAGACTGTCACCCACGTTCACGCCCATCTATCTTGCACTGTGTGCACACACAGAGTGCGTCAAGGAGATTCTGCCCAGGGTGTGTGCTTGGAGGAGGCTGGGAGACCTGTGTGCATTCAGGGCATCTCGCTTTTACCCTTGTCACCAATCAGGACCCGGGAGGAAAGCCCAGGGCTGGCCAGTTGCTGCCCTTTACCCCATGGTGGGTGCTTCTCAGCAGAGAGGTCCCAAGGGGGTCTAGGGAGTTTCCTGGTCCGGGGCTTGGCACATGGTCTCCGGCCCCACGTCTTTGAATGGGCTCTTGGCATCATAAAGAAGAAAGCCACCGTGATTTGGGGACAGCTCGTCTGTGCTGGGCGCCTTTGAGAATCAGAAATGCCAAGATTGTCTCCATCGTGTGGATGCACAGGCTAAGGCTCACAGAGGCAGAGTGACTTGAAAGAGGTCACACAGTAGCTCGTTGGCAAGGCCGCTTTGGCATCCACCAGCCTAGCCCCACATCTGTAGTCTGACCCCCACACTCACATTCTCAGAAGTCGCCCGGGCAGGTCACTACCCCACCTGTGAACACACACGTGTGCAGTGTAGGTCTGGAGGATGCGGGCGTATGCGTGCTGGGTTGTGCCCACGTCATCTCCGGCAAGCATGGGGGTCCCCGGCTAACACCCCCTCCGCCCCAGGGCACTCCGGCTGACGTCCTGTATAAGGGCACTATCACCCGGATCATCGGCGAGGACAGCCCGGGTCGCCTGGACCGTGGCCGGGAGGACGGCCTGCCCAAGGCCCACGTCATCTACGAGGGCAAGAAGGGCCACGTGCTGTCCTACGAGGGTGAGTTCTGTCACTGACGGCCGCAGTGACCCGGCGGGCAGGCGGGGGCTTACCTTCCCGCCGTGCACGGGCCATTGCTGCCCAGAGGAGAGACTCTCCGGATGAGCGGACTCATGCGACCAGGGAGGGAAGCTGGCCACTGGTTTGTCACGTGTGCTTCCTGGGAGCCAAGCACATGCCGGGGGGCTGGGAGCTCAGCGTCTGAAGTCCCCCCTCGGGATGCCCACACGAGATGCGGACGGGTCGTCACCCTGTTAATTCTGAATCATGGGAGCCTGCTCCGTCCAGCATGGCTCAGGCATCCGACCCCAGGCCCCGGTGTCCTGGAGCTGGTCCAGGGAGCAGGGTCCTGAGGAATGTGACTGGGGCCATAGGGCAGCCAGATGTCTTCGGGAAGCCAGTCTGGGGTGCCCCGCGTGGTTGGCCTGGGGGAAGCTGGAGCACAGTGACATCCAGTGCTGCATCCATGTGGCCATACTTCTGGCCCCTCAGGAGAAAACGGGGCTCAGGGTTGGTGGAGGAGGGTGTTTGGGCCATCGTGGTAGCTTCACAGGCAGGGCTGGGGTGACACCAGGAAGCATGTCAGAGAGGTGGTGACCTCCCCATCACTATAGGTATGCAAGCCAGGCCGGTCAGGCTTGGCCTGGGCTGCCTCCCGCCTCCGCCCAGGGCTGTACAACGTAGGAACAAACTTGTAGCCGGCCCTGTGAGAAGCATGGTGGGGAAACGGGCCCAGAGACGGAAGCCCGGGCCTCTGGCCCAGCACTTCTGGCCGACGCTGTGCTAGTTAACACCCCGTGGGTGGCCACCAAGGGGCGATGACCAACCTGAGGCTCCGCCCTGCCTCGCGCCCCTCACCCCTTCTCCCTTCCTGGTCTGGGTCTCACAGCCCAGGAGCCCTGCACAGAAGGGGTTAAGGGAGAACAGGGCTGGGGCGTGAATTTCCCGGCAGCCTCGGGCACCCAGGGGTGTGGAAATAAAAGCCAGTAATGGGCGCCCCTCTCAGCGGCTGGCAGCTGCGGGGCCCGAAATTGCTGCTCCTCTGGCGGGCGGCGCCTTCTCCTCTCCATCTGGCGCCCGCTGTGCCCCCTCCCCACCCCCCGCCCCCCGGTCCTGGGACGTGGGGGCGTCACCGTGTGTCCCAGGCACATGCCTCTCTGTGCTGCCAAGTGGTGGAGAGAGCCGGGGACAGGCCGTCAGCTGCATCGCCCTCCAGTGCCAGCCTCGGTGCCCGGCTGCGTGACGGCGTCGGCCCCGGGGAAGGCCTGAGGGAGGGCCCGGCGGTCCCGGTGCTGTGGGCAGGGAGCCCTGGGTGGATGCCCACTCGGGCTCCAGACCCGTTCCTGAGCCTCTGCGGTTAAGTTTGTCATCCGCAAAATGGGTTAAAATCAGGGCTTTTAGTTTCTCACGTGCTCCGGGGCCAAGTGGCTGACGAGGGTGGCAGGCGGGTGTATGGCCGCAGGGACTAGGGAAGACCATGTCTCCAGGGGCACTGGCCTGTCTGGTCACCAGCAGCTGATCGTCAACCCCGTACACATGTGAGTCCACCGGCTAGACTTCCGATCTCTCCATTTTCACCCGAAAACCCCCAGTGCTTAAACCTCAGTAATTAATTCTGAATGAAAACTGGAGTAGCGACACGGAACGTCCACCGGCCACCAGATCGCAAGCTCTGGAGTAGCTGCTACTCTGCGGGCCCCACGAGGAAGAAGGGAGCCCGCTGGCTCCAGGGAGCCCCCCGGCCTAAGGGGCGAGGCCGAGCCCTGCCCTCTGAGGCCTGCCTCCTGCCCGTTCAGACCCTTGGCCTGTCCAGGGAGCAGTGAGCCCAGCCTCAGGTCCCCGGCCCCTCCGGGCCCGTCCAGGCCTGGCGAGGCCACGTCTGCTGTGGACATCCTGCCCTTCCCCCAGGTTCACACTCCCCACCTGTCCAGGGAGCAGTGAGCCCAGTCTCAGGTCCCCGGCCCGTCCAGGCCTGGCGAGGCCACGTCTGCTATGGACATCCTGCCCTTCCCCCAGGTTCACACTCCCCACGGGGACTTGTAGTGCACATGCACGTTTGTGCACATGAAGACAGACAGGCACACAGGTGTGCTTGTGCACACTGCCTCACTCTGTTCCTGGTGGGCAGGCGCGTGTGCACGCACACGTGATGCAAACGGTCCTGCATACTCTGTGTTCATGTGGGTCTGCTCACGTGTGTGTGTACTCATGTTCGTGGCACATGTTGGCACCTGTGTGTGGACATGTTTGTGCACAGACTCATGCGGCTGTGTGTGGTCAAAGGCACACACCTACTTACTGATAGAACAGCCTGGCAGGTCAGGGCTCGGGGTGCAGGAGGCTCGCCTGCCTCTCCCTTCCGTGTGCTTCCCCCCAGAAGGTCTGAGGGATCGGTTAGTGGGACACTGTCCTCAGGCCCTGGGCTGGACCGCAGGTTCCCTCGGGAGGGCTCAGCTGGCCGGCTCTCAGCCACACGATCAGTGGAGTGTGCATGTGTACACGCTGCCATGGACCCGGCCCCTCACCGTGAGCCCGGTCTGCTTTCCAGGTGGCATGTCTGTGTCCCAGTGCTCCAAGGAGGAGGGCAGGAGCTCAGGCCCCTCCCACGAGACGGCTGCCCCCAAACGCACCTACGACATGATGGAGGGCCGGGTCAGCAGAGCCATCGCCTCAGCCAGCATTGAGGGTAGGTCTCCTGCCCAGGACCTGCCGTGGGTTGTCGCAGTGAAGAGAGGTTTTGTCTTGGCACCTGCTGGAGGGAGGTGTCGGGGTGGCTAGCCCTATTTCACAGACAGGAAAACTGAGGCTGGGTGTTTCTGAGGCTGTATCTCGGGGCAGTGCAGGGCTCAGATGTGTCGCTTGCATGCTGGGTCCTGTGCCACCACCCTGTCACCATGGAGGGGCCCACTGCTGGGAGGGCTGGCTAGACCCTGGTCCCTGTCACTGCCCAGGGCTGGCTCGGGGACCCCCGTAATGACGCTCTTGCCGTCCCCCTCCCAGGCCTCATGGGCCGCGCCATTCCGCCCGAGCAGCACGGCCCCCACCATCTCAAAGAGCAGCATCACCTCCGCGGTTCCATCACACAAGGTACCAGCGCCCTCTGCTGCCCTCGCGGCACCTCCGGGCCCCCAGGGTTCCCCAGGGTTCCCCTCGGGGGGAGGGACGCCTGCGTGCCGCAGGGCGTGGCACAGGCGTGCGGCACACGTGTACGAGACGGGTTCACACGCAGGTCACAGTGGGGAGCACGGGCGTCTCTTGCTTGTTTGGAGATGGAAAGAGAAACCGCCCGGCCCCTCCTCGGGGGCGTCGTCTTGAGCCCCTGCTGCGTGCTCGGCGCGAACCCAAGTGCCGCTTGTGCGTTCTTACGGGACATTTTTGGGGCCGGAGGTGCAGTTGGTTAGAGGCTAAGGCGGTCACGTAACTCGCCCAGATCCCCCCGCGTGGGCCGCGGGGAGCCGGCCTGTGGCCCGATGTGGGCCTGCGTTGGTGTCATCTCGTTGCCGGGACGAGGTGTTCCCACGAGGGTCCTGCTTTCCGCGTGAAGACACGGGGCCCCGGAGAGGTCACGCCACGCGCCATGGCCCCAGCATGCAGCGGTGTCGGGGCAGCGGTGTCGGGGCCCCGGTGTGGGAGGGCGAGGCGGGGTGCAGGCATGGGGTCAGCGCCCCGCCCTCCGTTGCAGGGATCCCTCGGTCCTACGTGGAGGCGCAGGAGGACTACCTGCGGCGGGAGGCCAAGCTGCTGAAGCGCGAGGGCACGCCGCCGCCCCCACCGCCCCCGCGGGACCTGGCCGAGGCCTACAAGGCCCGGCCCCTGGACGCCCTGGGCCCCCTGAAGCTGAAGCCGGCGCACGAGGGCCTGGTGGCCACGGTGAAGGAGGCTGGCCGCTCCATCCACGAGATCCCGCGGGAGGAGCTGCGGCGCTCACCCGAGCCGCCCCTGGCCCCGCGAGCCCTCAAGGAGGGCTCCATCACGCAGGTACGCGCGGGCGTCCGCCGGCCGCACGCTGGGCTCGGGCGTGGGGGCTGTGGGCCCCGCCCTGGCCTCAAACGGGGAGACAGGCCCCAGGCCACATGTGGCTGTCCTGGGCCCCGTGCACGTCCAAGTCCCACGCGAGGGGCTTGCATCCGTGACCTCGGTCAGTGGTCGGCAGCCCTGGGGGGTCATGCCCATTGTCCCCGTTCTTCGGGCGGAGGAACTGGGGCCCAGAGGTCAAGCAGGGCCCACGCTAAACGTGGTGGTAACGGCTGCCAGAGCACGTGGCGTCGTGACCCGTCGGCCCTCGGAGCTGTGCTCTGAGGTGGCTCTCACTGTCCTCATTGAAACGACTTGTCCAGGGTCACAGAGCATGTAAATGGCAGTTGTGACACTCGAATCCAGATGTCCCCAACTCTGCAGCATCGTTGCTTTGTGGTGTCCACCCCCCGCAAGGCCGTAGCCTCGTGTGAGGGGCTGGTCAGTGGGAACCGCTGAGGGCCACGGTCCCCTCACATGGTCAGAGGTGGCCTGATGTGCCGAGGGCGGGTGGGGCCCAAGGGGACGCTGCCGAGGACCAGGGCTGCAATGTGGTACTTGTGGAGCCATCAGCAAGAGGTCCAGGTCCAACAGAGAGGCCGGTTTGATTCTAGTTTGTTCTTTTTGAAATCAGGGCGTTTATTCTTCTTGTGAAAGAGATTGAAACATTCCTGAGTAAACACAGAGCTGTGTTATTTGCAGAGACACAGGGCCCCCTGTATCCGGGTTTCCCAGCCTGTCTAAACAGGGTGGGGTCTTTCCCCAGGTGGCCGGGCAGGGACCGTGACCCCTGTTTCTTCAGCTGCCCTTCCTGGCCAGAGAGCAAACATGAACTTCAGCCCTGACCTCTGAGCCTTAATCCTCCGGGCGGCGAAACCGGATTTTGCCGCTGAGTCTCGGGGCTCGGCAGCGGGCGTGCGGAGGGGCCCAGGCTGAAGGGAGGAAGGATTTAGCCCACGTCGGGGAGTTCAGCCCCTTTCCAGCAGACCCCAGCGGCCAGCAGAGGGCTCCCCATTTGCTCCAGGAAGGGCTGACCTCTGAACTCCGCCCCCTTTTGTGGCCCCCCCAGGCCCGGGCAGAGTGGGCAGGGCCGTGAAGGTCGTGCTCCCCTCAGGCTCCGTGCCACCTGAACCTCTGGCCCCTGCCCCCCAAGGCCTGGCTCGCGGCTCCCGTGTCGGAGCTCAGCAGGTGAGGCTCAGAGTGATGTGCCTGCCGCTCACACTCCGTCTCCCCCAGGGCACCCCGCTCAAGTACGACACGGGCTCGTCCTCCACCGGCTCCAAAAAGCACGACGTGCGCTCCATCATCGGCAGCCCCGGCCGCACGTTCCCGCCCGTGCACCCGCTGGACGTGATGGCAGACGCGCGGGCGCTGGACCGCGCCTGCTACGAGGACAGCCTGAAGAGCCGGCCGGGCGCGGTCGGCAGCTCGGGGGGCTCCATCACCCGGGGCGCCCCGGCCATCGTGCCTGACCTGGGAAAGCCGCGCCAGAGCCCCCTGACCTACGAGGACCACGGCACGCCCTTCACCGGCCACCTTCCACGCGGCTCGCCGGTGACCACGCGGGAGCCCACGCCGCGCCTGCAGGAGGGTGCGTGGGGTGGGCGTCGGGTGGGCGTGGGCTTGGGGCGTGGGCGGGCTGTGGTCTCAGGAAACCGCCTTAGTTTGGAGCCAGGAACACCCTGGGGTCACCGCATCCACCTCCTTGGCCAGACCTATGGGTTCGGCGTCCAGATGCTCCTGGGAACCCTCCCCGCCCACCCTACCACGACTCCCCGCCCCTGGCTTCCCAGCTCCCCTCTTGTCCAGTTGTAACGTGCTCCCCAAATGGCGGCCAGCCACTTTTTTTGTGTGAAAAATTTACATCAAATTATGCCACCCTCCTGCTTAAGTCTTTCTGGTGACTTCTCATGGCACTCAGAAGGAAAATCCGCCTTTCCTGCCATGGCCCTGGGATGGGGCCTGCAGGATTTGGCCCCGTCTGCCTCACCAGCTGCCAGATTCCTCTCTCCCAGGCTCTGCCAGACAGGCCGCCTCCTCTCTGCTCCTCGACCACGTCCATCCTCCCCCCGGGCCTGTGCCCGTGCCGTTCCCTCTGCTCGAAACGTGTCCCCCCCGCCCCCCCAGATCTCTGCCTGACGGGCTTAGTGTCATCCTTCGGGTCTCTGTCCAAATGTCACATCCCCAGGGAGGCTTCTCGCGGCCAAACACCCCTCCCCCGTTCTGGTCGTGTCCTGTCACGTTTTTCTCCAGAGCATTTATCACTCCGAAGCCCTTATTTGACGACTAGTTTATCATCCGTCCCCCGCGTTAAATGTCGGCCCCTTCGGGGCCAGGAGTTTTGTCTATTCTCTGGTGTAGCCCCAGCTCCCCAAATACTGCTTGGCAAGTAGTGGAGGTTCCAGAGGTGCATTTGGATTGATTGGTCAATTGATTGACTGAGTTATTGAAGGAATGAATGATGAATGAGACAAGGAACAAACGAAAGGGAGAATGATGAACATTTTTGGGAACTAAAAACAAACGAGTAAATGATTTTTAAAACGTGACCTATGAGGCAAATGGGTGGGTGAATGAAGAGGCCTGGTCTTGGGGTCCCAAAGACCCTGCTCCGCAGTGGTTTCCCGTAACACACCAGCCTCCGGTGCCTGCGTTGGGGCCGGCACGGCGGTGGCACAGAGGTCCGATGCCGTCCCCACGCCACCCGTCCACAGGCAGCCTCTCGTCCAGCAAGGCGTCCCAGGATCGGAAGCTGACGTCGACGCCCCGCGAGATAGCCAAGTCCCCGCACAGCGCCGTGCCGGAGCACCACGCCCACCCCATCTCGTCCTACGAGCACCTGCTCCGGGGCGTGAGCGGCGTGGACCTGTACCGCGGCCACATCCCGCTGGCCTTCGACCCCACCTCCATACCCCGCGGAATCCCCCTGGATGCAGGTGATTGTCCCGAAGCACGGGGCCGGGGCCTCATCGGTGTCCGCCCGGGGTCTCCCGAGGCATCGCCCCGGCTCTGCCCATTGGGGAAGCTGAGGCCTAGAGGTGGGGACACCCAACGGCATCGTCACAGGACGGTGCAGACTAGCATTTGTCTTAGGAATCCGGGGCATCGTTCTTTGGTTGTCTTTTCCTGAGGGACGTCTGAGCCTTTCAAAGTGCAAACGTGTCTAAAGAGGGCTCGAGTGTGGGAGTCCCCACGCAGACGGGACCCGGAGAGCTTTTGTGAGGGCTGCATCCCTTAGGTGTCTCGGTGATGCATGAGCCGGATGCCCCATGTGTAGGAGAGCTTCAGGCCAGAGGTCATTACCAATAAAAGGCCCCTCAAGGGTTTCAGGGAGCAAGTCTCTATTTCTGCACCCTAATGCTGTCTCAACGAGGTGTCCTGGGGAGAAGCTGTCAGGACGCAGGAGCGGGGACATAAGGCAGGGGGGTGACATCCTCTGGCCAGAGCGCGGGCCGCCTGACCTCGCTCCCCTCTCCCGGCAGCCGCCGCCTATTACCTGCCCCGGCACCTGGCCCCCAGCCCCACCTACCCGCACCTGTACCCGCCTTACCTCATCCGCGGCTACCCCGACACGGCGGCTCTGGAGAACCGCCAGACAATCATCAACGACTACATCACCTCGCAGCAGATGCACCACAATGCGGCCACCGCCATGGCCCAGCGCGCCGACATGCTGCGGGGCCTGTCGCCCCGCGAGTCTTCGCTGGCGCTCAACTACGCTGCCGGCCCTCGAGGTGGGTGGCCCTGGGCGCCCCGGGTGGGGGGCGGGCGGGCAGACCACCTCCGTCGGGCATCGGCCATGCTCCAGGAGCACCTGGGCTCTCTTGGGAGTGCAGAGGACCCATGTGTGTGGCTTTGCCGAGGTGTTTAGGGTGTGGGCATCTCGGGGGTCAGTGCGACGTGGCCACACACCTGGCTGGTGGCTGCAGTGTGTGTGCTGTGGGCACGAGGCTGTGCTTGATGGCCACGTGCATCCTGGCTGCACGCACGGGTCGCACGCGTGCTCTGTGTGCTCTTGGCACGTGCCGTCCTTGGAGTTGACAAAATGAGACCAAAACACGAGGCTGTTGGGGTTTCCGGCTCCCTGGACTTGCCAGCAGCCTGTGGTTGCTTAGCAGGTGTGTGTCAGGTTTCCTGCGGACACACTCCTGGGACGTCCTTCTGGAGTGCCCAGGTGCTGGCCAGTGTCCAACTGGAGCACTGGTCACACTAGCCATTTCAGAGGCAGGGGCTGAGTTGAGGCCACGCCGTGCAGGGGCGCCCCTGTCGGCCCTGACTTCTCAGGCGGGGGAGCACAGGGAGGAGGGTCTGGGAGAACCTGGCGTTCTGAAACGGGTCCCGCGGGGCTGGTGCTCGGACCCCAGGAGGCGGACATCAGTGAAGGTGCAGGACTCCGCCCATGCGGCGGTCCAGCCAGCAGGAGCCTGAGGCCACAACTCTGTCCCACCTCCCCCCACAGGCATCATCGACCTGTCCCAAGTGCCACATCTGCCCGTGCTCGTGCCCCCGACACCAGGCACGCCCGCCGCCGCCATGGACCGCCTGGCCTACCTCCCCACCGCGCCCCAGCACTTCAGCGGCCGGCTCAGCAGCTCCCCGCTGTCCCCAGGTAGCACCTTCACCCGCCCCGGCCTCTGAGGGAGTGGCTGGGTGTCCGCGGGCAGATGCCTTCCCCTCTCTGTTCCGCCCCAGAGGACAAACGCGGGCCCTTCTAGGGCCCTGGGGCTGAGTTGTGGGCCTCTTGTCTCCCAGGAGGTCCCACCCACCTGACCAAGCCGACCGCCACGTCCTCGTCCGAGAGGGACCGCGAGCGGGAGAAGTCCATCCTCACGTCCACCACGACGGTGGAGCACGCACCTATCTGGAGACCCGGTAGGGTGCCGGAGACCCCGCCCCGGGCCCCGGGGGTCCCCGCGGGCCTCCCGAGGCCC